CTTACAACATCTGATATTTTCAAGCGGCCACTCATCTAGGTACTGACTAGGCTCGACGTTGCTTAACTTCGGCAATCATACGAGAACCGATGTTACAACGTGATGTGGCCGTAGGTAGTTGTGGTTGAAAGAAGATTAGTAAATCATGCATCGAACTCGAAAACATGAAGCTAGGATCGGCAATGTCTTGTTCACGATGCATAGAAAGATCCTAACTGTACTAGCATGCACTCAGGAAATGTACACCCAGAAGCGCGGGGGCGGGGGCGGAATCATCCCAGAATATGAAGGCATTTGATTTTTTTTTGTTTTTGTTTTTGTCTTTCTATTAGTCTTTTTTTTTTTTAATTTTTTTAATTTTTATTTTTTGTTTATTGGTGTGAACAACAGTACACCCTGTGTACTGCCACTTGAAAACTATCTAACCTTAGAGAAGCAGTTACTTCCTCTGCAGCGACTAATGCAGCTGGAGTCGAGTGAGGTTTCAATAGATTACATAGCTATATCTCTACCCCTAAACACTCCCTACCTGGGTAAATTCACAATTTAAAATGAAATTAAATCCGGAATTTTGTGTCTATTTACAGAAACACACGTGCGTTGTTGCGTGGTGCGTGTATGAGTGACTATATATATATATATATATATAGTCAAAACTAAATATGTTTATTAGAGAAGAGTGCTTAATATCGGAGATAGAAAGTTTTATTTATATATATATATATATATATATATATATATATATATAAATGTTCTATCTCTCTCTCTATATATAAACGTTCTATATATATATATATATATTTATATATATATTATATAGAGTCAAAACTAAATATATTTATTAGAGAAGAGTGCTTAATATCGGAGATAGAACGTTTATATTTATATATATATATATATATATATATATATATATATATATATATATATATATGAACTTTCTCTCTATCTATCTATCTATCTATCTATCTATATATATATATATATATATATATATATATATATATATTATATAGTCAAAACTAAATATATTTATTAGAGAAGAGTGCTTAATATCGGTGATAGAAAGTTTATTTTATATATATATATATATATATATATATATATATATATATATATATATAAAGTGCGTCTAGAGATTATATGCAAAAGAGGTATTGTCAAATATGTATAGCGAGTCAACATGAAAGCAATTAAGTCCCAATTTTCAATTTCAGATTGATATTTAGTATTTTTTCAGTAATTATAGCAATTTGCTTTGTCAAGTGATTATTTGCAAGAACTAGAATTTAGTATTATGACTCGTAAAAAAGAACCAACAATGAATGAAAAGAACTATATAATCAAAGAAATTAGCAAAGGAAGGTCTTCGCTTCAAATTTCTAAGGATTTGAAAAGGGATCATCGAACAATCAAGAAAATATGTCAAATGGGAATTCAACCAAGAAAAAAAAGTCTCAGGCTGAATTCAGGAATTTAACAAAGCGAGAGCTATCACATATCCGAAGAGAATTAATAAGAAACCCAAATGCGTCAAGTGTGTTCATGTTTGAGGCCACTGGAGCTCCTATGGTGTCAAGGGAAACAAGGTGTAAAGCATTAAGGAAGTTTGCTGATGTAAAAAATCAAATAAAGAAACCCATTTTAACAAAAAACATTAGGAAAGAAGATTGCAGTGGGCAAAAAAATACATGAAAACCGATTTCAGTAAAGTGCTTTTTACAGACGAATCAAGGATCACCCTCGATGGGCCCGATGGATGGGCTCGAGGATGGGTTTGCAAGCAACATGAACCAAGAAAATTTTTTAAACGCCAACAAGGCGGAGGTGGGATCATGATATGGGCTGGGATTATTGGTAATGAACTCGTGTGTTCATTTAAACTGAAAGACGGGGTTAAAATGAATTCCAAAAGTTACTGTGATTTTCTAGAGCAATATTTCTTTGAATGGCTTGATAACCAGTCTTTAGCCAAGCGTAGATCTATGATCTTTATGCAAGACAACGTACCAAGTCATGAATCAGTTTACTAAATCCTGATTGAAAAAAAAGGGATTTGTTGAAGATTGTCTTATGGACTGGCCTTCAAATAGCTGTGACTTGAATCCCATTGAGAACCTGTGGAGCATCCTCAAGAGAGATATTTATTCTAATGGAAGGCAATTCAGCAGCAAGTGTGACCTCTGGGAGGCAGTTAAAGTTGCTGCAAACAACTTACCAGCTGCTAAAATAGCAAATCTAACATCAGATGTTGACAATAGGCTGCTAAGAGTTATTGAAAAGAAAGGAGCATTTGTGCAATAAATTTTAGGAGGTTCTTATTATTTTTTTGTTAATATATCTTTTATTTTTAAAATAAAATGTGTCTTTTTTTTATGTTTTTCCTTTAAGAATTCCTGACGAATTTGTTCTAAAATCTTTTCATATTATTTTTTTACATTAGTTTTACAAGGTATAATAATGTAGAAGTATCAAAATAAATAGTTGCAAATAAACTACTGACAGTCAAATTAGTCTGTTTTGTTAACTTAGAAAAATTTTTTCCAACCAAAAACAATAGTTTTCTCTATCACTATATATCTAAGTTAATAATATTGAGTAGAATCTAAACAACATCATAATAGGACTTTTAACATTAAAGACGCAACTCTTTATACCAATTCATAACTTGCATATAATCTCTAGACGCAGTTTATATATATATATATATATATATATATATATATATATATAGATATTCGGGCAAAAACCTTTCTTTTAAAACGAAAAGAAACAATACAAAAACAAAACTTTAAGTGGCCCAGAAAGTGTCGGAAAGCGCTTGGGACAATGGACGACATGAACAGTTTTCGTACGCCCTCAATGCCACTACTACCGCCAAACGAAAAAAAAAAAGTAAGAACGCCAGAAAAATTAAATAAAATTTACCTTGTCCGTTATATTTAACGAAATATATAAAAAGAAGAAAAGAAGAAGAAAACACTGAAATACGCAGCCTCGTGACCAAATCCCGAGTTACCCTTTGATAAGGCATGGTAACCGGAAGCCACCTTTTCCAGGGTTATGGTGAATACATCGATAACAGCTTGTTAGATGTGGTCAATGTCAAAATGTAACAAACTCGATTTGTAGCAATGAACAGCAAATGATCCCTGATAATGGACAATGGATGGAGTCCTAATTGTTCCGAGTCAGATGGAAACTGCCGAAATACAGAGTAGAGTAAAATAACGCCTTGTGTCTCCTTATATATGCGAAATTGAAAGCCCTATGAATGGGGGGGGGTCCCAACGGAAGACCTACTTAGTTCTCCTTCTTCTTCTTCTTCTTCTTCTTATTATTATTATTATTATTATTATTATTATTAAAAGAATAAAAATAGTATAACAGGCACATGATCACAGCTAAATGTGCGAGATAAGATGACAAGTTTTTATATATAGATCCTTCCATATCCACGCAGCTAAGAACACCTTCAAATTCAGTGCTGCTGAATTGGTCTCCCATTGAGGGTGTTCTCAAGTATTCAATAGGAGTAGACAGGTTCGCCTATCGCCTGGTTCAAAGCCATGTCTGTTGAATAGGTGTAGAGATTTGTCCCTTGTTTCCTGTTTAGGATTGGCTTTCCGGTTACTTCAAAAGACTACTTCATTCCTATATTCCTAACGTCCCCGGCTAAAACTCAGAAATTTTATTTACTAATTATTATTTTTTCTTCTCAATGGGATTAGATATGTTCGCCTATCGCCTGGTTTGCACTTCTCCTTGGTCTTTTGAACAGGAGTAGTGGTTTGTTCCCTGTTTAGGATTGGGTCTACGATTCCTTCTAAAGTCTTTTTCATTCTCTTTCACTCCCAGAAGCCCCTGAGGGTGAATTGATTAAAACAAATCTTGGTGCTACTCTCAAGACGATTTGGATGTCCCCATAAAAAAAACAGAAATAATTAACCCTCTCGACACACGGACATGATGCTCTTCCACTACAGCTGCTCATGAACAGAGTTGCTTCATATAATTTAAATAGTTTAAATTTTTGTCTTCGATTGAGCTCTGAAGGAGAAACGATAACTAGTAATATTTTCTTTTGTTATATTTTATATATATATATATATATATATATATATATATATATATATATATATATATGTATGTTATAATTTCATATATTCATCATTTAAAAGCATTTTTTTCTTTACACGTCCGCTTCTTGTTTTAATATATTTATATGTATTATATATTAATATATCCTTTTTTCTGGTAGGTTGCTTCTGTTTAGCTGCATATCGACACCTCTATGGGTTATTTAATGCCGAAATCTAAATAATCTGAACACAATTTTATGGCTTCAACTAAATATATTTAGTATCTAATTGTATAATTTCAACTATAGATAAAATGTATTGTTGACTACTGTGCTTTAAAAATGTGTTGTTGGTCATTTTACTATAAATATATATTGTTGGTCATTGTTTATATAAAAATGTATTCTTGCGATTTTTATACTTTCATAGTGTTTTGTTTGGAGGATCACTATTTACCCGCAGCTGGGACCCTAACAGGTGCTACCACCAAGGGTCAGGATGAAGCTGGGAACAACACCAATTAAGAGATGGTTCCACGCTCCTTAAAAACCTTCAGTCTCCTGATCAGAAGCCTTGCTGTTGGATGTCGTTTATCCTTTTGTAATATGTCCGTTTTAAAAGCTATAATAATACATGGATTTATAACTTTCAAAACTGATAAATTAAGAAAATCGGGATTATATTATTTCATTTGATGTTCAAACAACTAAATATATTTCCTGAGTTGGCTATGTTGGTATTTCTATATATTTTAATCTTTTTTAAACCTTACAACATTGTTCGATCGATCTATTCATTAGCCTTCCTCGGGAGTAAAATCCGTAAGGAAAGGGATCTTTATTTCTTTCTTTTATATTTTAAACAGAAAAGACCGATAAAATGAAGATAAGATATTTAATCTACTGAGTGACTTGGCTAATTACCAGTTAGAAGGCGGCAGATTCCCAGTTAGTAGGCGGTGGATTCCCAGTTAGCAGGCGGCTGATTCCCAGTTAGTAGGCGGTGGATTCCCAGTTAGTAGGCGGCTGATT